GCTTCTAGGAGGATCTGTTCCATGATCTTCCTAGGCACAGAAGTGAGGCTCACAGGTCAGTAGTTCCCGGGGTGTTCCTTTCTTCCCTTTTTAAAAATGGGCACAATGTTTCCGTTCTTCCAGTTACCAGGGACTTCACCTGACTGCAGGTTTTAATGAGCAGTGCTCCACAGCAGTGAAACAATTTGCGTAGGGCCATAAAAGAAACATTTGCTCAACTCTGATGAAGTGTAATTTTTTTTTTTTTTTTTTTTTTTTTGTGACCTTGGCTCTGTTTCACAGCGATGAGGTTAGTCATCATGGGCTTTATTCAGGTACGGACAAATGCCTGAGGCGTGTTCTAACAGTGCATGCTGCAGGGCAGCGAACAAGTCCTGGCGACGCGTGCGCACAGCCTTTCTGCCTGCTGTGTCCATAGGAACTCCAGATTTCACTGGGTGGGTACTCCTGTGGAGACACTGTGGGCTGGTTTGGTTTTTGTTATGTGTAATGTGATAAGCAAACCCTGGACCGTCTGCAGACAATTTTTAAGGAGCTCACGAAAGCAAAGCAGAAAAGCAAACTTATTGTCACTACATTTATATTCATTGTAAGGTGGCCTGGCCCCTCACTGAAAAAAATCTAGGGAATAGCACATTTCAGACTTTGAAAAATCACCGAAAGCTATTAAGGCCCCACTGTCTTGTTTGACTGAAATCTGAGTTGACTGTCAAATTGCCCCTGATTCTAAGCAGATTATCAGTTTCCTTATTTTCACATACATTAAATGATGCTCTATACAAAGGTCTCATGATGCAATTTACTCCACCTTCCAGGAACTGCTTTACAGTAAATACAAGGTGAGTAATCCAATCTCCAGCGTCAATAATGCGAAAGTATATTGGAACATATGCAAGAGAGAATTCTTGCTCCTGGCCTCAGATAGACTCCAAGGTTTACAACATTCGCTGAGGAAAAAAAGCCCTCGAGATAAGGTGCCTGCGGGGCGGGCATTGCTGCTGCAGATGGGCCTTGCGAGGGCCTCCGGTTCTGATCATACCTGTCTTGGTGTGCTGGGATCCAGCGTCTCATTTCCTACGCTCCTCTCCCTCCTGCTTTGTTTGTATAAAGCTAACAGTAGCTATCACTTTGTAAAGAGAAGTCATCTGGGCATGTGTAGAGCTTTTTAAGTTGAAAGCAGTTCCATGAGCTGTAAATCATACTTCTTGCCACTCCGCCATGTGAAGAACCAGGCCGTGAGCTCAGAGAAGGACACGTGGTTGGGAGGTGAAGCCAGAGCAGCTGTCATTTGCACACCTGGACATCTCTGTACCCCTCTTAGTTCCTGCATGTCGACCATCAGCCTGCGTATTGTCTCCGAGTCAGACAGCGGGGTGGAGGGCTCTGAACTGGTGGTCAACTACAACTGAAACATGCCAACCTGGATATGATTTCTTTCATTTTTATTTACTTGGGTATTCTTGTTGGGAATCATATAAAGCACAGATGATGTATGACCAAAAGTAATGTAGGGAGTTTCGCAGTACCAGCATGCCAAAAAGGTGTCGTAAAAAAAAGGAAGATTGCCAAAAGCTGGTATAAATCACTTTAATTAAAATCTTCAAATATAAAAGTCACAAGCACTGGAATAAACAACACTGTTAGAAAAGTTCTAAAAAGAAGCTACCAGGCAAATAATAACTTTGATGTCTTAGTTGTAACTTAAAGTTAATAATATATTAATAATATATCCATATATATCCAATATATAATAATATATCCATTTTATGCTCTTTACTTTTCGTATTAAACTTGCATAATGTAAACAAACTTAACCTTCTTTATTCTCATTTGATACATAACTTCACAGAATGCATCTGCGCTGTGGATGCAAACACTCCTTTGACACACTGAACTTAAATATAATCCTTTTATGGTGCAATTTTTCATCACAGCTTCAGATATACATCTGTTTTTAAAGTATTCTCGTTAAAAAATGTCTCCTCCCCACCCCACCCTGCACTGAAACCCCATGTAGCTGGTAGCATCCTTTTAAGGCTTAAAAAGGGAAATACAGTGGTGTGCGGTTGTTTTCCCCTGCTGTGCTCAAAACATCATAAGGCGTTGACAGTGGTGTGGGTTATGTATCTTCAAGAAAAGTAGATGCAAACACGTACATTGGGAAACCACAGGTATTCTCTGAGGTGTTTTGCTACCCTGCAGACCGGTGGCCTGCGTGCCAGAGGCACACAGAACCGCAGCAGGGTGTGCGCAAGGAAGGCACGGCCAGGGAGAAAAACCACCGCCAATACAGATTTCTGGCCAAAACGGCTGTTTCCCCAGGGGGAGGGATATCAGCCTGGCCGGGCAGGTTGGTCCCCGGGGTGCTCTAAGGCCACTGGACTCCCTCTGATGGCTGAGGGGTGGGTGGTTTGCTCAGTCTCTTTACTGTCCCATTTCCTCGAGAACAGGGGAGACCTGAGCGAGGTAGGGAGCATAAAGCAGAGCTTCACCTGCAGGTAGGCTCAGGGAAGCCCTTTCCAGCTGAACCGGGGAACCCCTTTCCATCTGAACCGCCTGCGGGGTGGTAAAGGCTGAGGGGTCGCGCGCCCTCGCCGCACTGCCCACTGACCACGGAGAGTTTGCCGGGGTGGTGGTGGGCTCCTCTCCTTTCCTCCCGGGGATGAAGCGTGTGAGGGCAGAGGTAGACCACCGTGCAGGAATAGCCTGCATTTCCTGTGTCAAAAACTCACCTTTGGAAAGCACATGGGCACAGCTCCATCTTGTGACTGAACTCTCCTAGCTTGGGAAAAACGTGTGGTGCTGCCCCAAATCCCACGAGGGAACTGGTTTCTCAGCAAGGTGTTTTCCCCTGCAGGCACCCCGACCTCAGCTTGCTTTGTGTGTCCCCGCTTTCCACCCCAAGACGCCCTCAGCAACCACAACCCCTCCTCAGGCTTCCCCACATGGTGCAGGCAAAATCACAGCTGTACAGCTGAAATAAAACCCCCTGCTCATCCTTTCTGAAGGCAAGCTTTTGCAGGAACTGTTCTAAGAGCTGTGCTTGCAGAAACGAGAGGGAGAGGGGAGGTTGCAGTTCCCAGCTGGCAGAGCCTGAAGTGCAGCGTGAGAAGCTGATGCAGCTCTGTGCGTGGCGTAGAGAAGGGCCCCGTGCTCGAGCACAGCAACCCAGGCTGGACCGAGAGCAAAACCAGCCCCTGCCTGGACTTGCTCTACCTCGATAGTTCTCCCAGGAGCTTAACGAGCATCTTCCACGTACAAATTACCCAGCGGGACGTCATGTCCTCCCCAGCCCACAGATCGTACCAGTGCCACAACCCCTGCATCCCTTGCCAGAATTAAATCTCGTGGTAGAAATGTGAATTTCTAGGATTAAACTTCCCTGCTAGCCAAGTGCTTTACATTTATCCTGCGTGTGTGTTAACCATTTAAATGCAAACAATAGCTTTGGCGTTTTTGATAACGTAAAAGCCGTAAGAGAAGGCTGGAAGGCCGAGTACGCTGCCGGGACCAAGGGGTTTTTCAATAAGGTCTGGCAGCGTTTTGTCATCCACCATCCGTAGCACACGGCCATTCAGCTCAATCGACCTGGAGAGGGACAGAGTAACTGTATGGGCAGCTGTGCTCTGTTTGCTAGCAAGCACAAACAGCTCTGGACCTGAGTGTAAACATGAACTCAGCCCAAAGCCAAACTAAACTTCCCTTGACGGTTTATCTGTGCACACACACATGGAGCATCTGCAGCACCCCCTCTGCAAGGACTCCTTTAGAGCCGTAGCACAAGCAAGTTGAAAAGTACATGTTTCTTACTCTTCTAGTGAGGTTAACAGCAGAACAGGCTTTGAAAAGTACACCTTTTAATTGGTTTCTCTCCTGCAAGGTATCTTCTACACCCACAGAGCAGATCCTTCCTGTGCTCATGCATTAGTGGTAACAACAAAAGAAACCATACAAAGCCTGAACATGTTGCTGTAAGTCAGGAGCCAGCACTTGGGAAAGCAATATAGATGTGCTTGTGCAAAACAAACAGGACTTTAGCGGCTGGTCCAGAGCCCTGAAGCCTGCTAGGAAAAAGCCTCCCAATTAACATCAAACAAGTGTCCTCGTACCTTAGCAAGCTTTCAGCAGCCTGATTTTAGGAGAACTGATTTAACACAAGTCAGACCTTACTGAAAAAAATCCAGATGACTGAATAGTAACCTCTTCCCCCGCCCTGCCTTGCAAGTTGAAGAAGGTGAGGTTTTAGAGGCCATCGAGCTCTACTCACAATCCTTTCTACAGAGAGAGCAGGAATTGCACGCTTACCTGGAAAGTATATTCTCTTTGCCATGAGGCAGCAAGAGGTACTGATCCACATGCTTGCTTGATAAGTACTTTGGTAGCTGCAAATGTTGGGTAACATTGTAGAGGTTTAAGGCAAACAGTGTCACGTCCCCTTCTCTGTACTTTGGGCTGCAAGGCAAGACAAGATGATGGTGAGGATCAGGAGAGAAACAGGTTTTGTAGAAATAACATGCATCCTTGTGCTGTCCCAAATTGCTTTTGTTGGCTGGGGGTGGCCATGGGCTCAGTTTCTGGGATATTTTGCCTTTTCTGGAGGCTTACTGGAGGGGGTTCGTGCAATGGAGGTAGACGCGGAGCTTCCTCTTATCGGCTCCTGTCAGGCCAACCTGCAGCACCTTGGTACCCATCAGCTTCTTGTAGAGCAGCGAGAGCCAGTAGTCCTAGGAGGCACAAAACCAGATGTAAGCACTTGTGTACACAAAGGTACTCCACACAGGGCTTAATGTAATGTTCATTTTGCTGGTAATTTCAGGGCTTTTTTCCCCATAATTTTTTGCCTTACCAAGTTTTTCACCATATCCATTTAAATTCCCACAAACAACATAGCTAAAGAGAAAATCCTGCCTCCAAGCTGCAGAGCAGCTGTGTTTACAAGGTACTTTAGAGTCATTTTTCCCTTCACATGCAAATCTCTTTCTGTGGGGGAAAGACTATTTGCATTTTGAAGATGCCCTTCTGCAGGGTACAGAGCACCTCAGGTCTGACCCAGCGGCGGATGAGCTGCCCTTCCTGCAGGGAAGCCTGTGCCAAATCCACAGGCACAACGCCAGGAAGAAGCCCCCGAAAACTTTTATGCCTTTCACTAACATCATGCTTTTGAACAGGTCTCAGGATTAATTTCTGAACACCAGTCAAGAGTAAATCCTCTGACACCCCAGGACAATGCCCGAGAGCAGGGTGATGCCCAGTGCAGACTCATTTTTTTCCAGGCTTGCTTTTTCTTGCACCTTGACCGCTACTTTTCCGTGACCATACCAAAAAGAGTGTGTGGTCTGTGCAGATGTGTTTTGGGACTAGGAGGCCCCAGGCAGGCTGCATTTTGCCGCATCTCTTCTTTGAGCGCAACCCCAGGGGAGGATGTACTCCAGCTGGTGGGTTTCAGAGAGCTTCTCCCAGCTCATCTGTCTGTCTGTCTTTGAGGTTTTCCTAGAAGGGAAACCATCATGTTTCTCTCCTGACTCACCACAAGCCTGAGGAAGTGACTTTTCCTATTGGTGTGCATGCTCAGCCAGTCTGCCAGGAGGTGAAACCTTCTGACACTGCTCTGCTTCTTCATTTCCATACTAACTGATGGACCTGGGTTTGGATTTCCCTGCCTCTAAAGCATTATTAGCTTGATTAGCATTTGTACTGCCTGTAGGTGAGGAACAAGGCAGATTCTTTCAGTCCAAATTAAATCTATTTTAAATGAGGGAATAAAAAGCCCAAAGCAACAAGCCTGACAACACAGCCCCTGGTGTAGGGACCAGCTGAACAGGCAGGACAGAAAAACCCCGTATGCTGGGTTTCCTCTCAGACAGTCTCTATGAGCCTGTGAAAATCACATCTTGGAAGCAGAAAAATGAGAGGAAAGGTAAAAAGAAAGACGCTATCCTCTCACCCCAAGGTAAGCGCTACTAGCACAAAGAAACGTGCTGTGCATGCAAGAACAATGAATAATGATGTTTCATGACACCAGAATGTTAATTCCTAATAAATTCAATTATACTAAATGCATGTTTTCATTTAGTTATCCTTCAGCCACTACTGAAGGCTAAATATGCTCATGACCTAAGAAATGCTTGAGTCTTGACTTCATGCTGGTTTGGTTTTCACTTGGGATGTAATTTATTATAACAACTCATACTGCTTCTGTTTAAAAGCTACTCATCACTCAGCTGAGGAGTACTCAAACCAAAACAGTCCATCCTGAAAAGCCTTGTGAACTCCAGAAGCATCTGCATACAAGTCAGAGCATCATGTCCCAGAAATCAGTCTCTGCTGTGCTGAAGACTAGCTGCATCCCTGCAGTTGCAGTAAATATCTTGTATCTATATATATATAATACACGAACGCATAATGAAACATGAGCTAACTTTAGGTGCAAGGATAACTGCGACTATCCTACAAAATCTGTTGCTATGTTGCGTTGTTAAAATAGATGACTTGTCCCTCCACATCCAGTGTTGCCGGTGCAGAAACACATGCAGCATTCAGATGGTGTTAGTGGGGTTGCATACATACCGGCAAAGGCTCAAAGTTGGCATCCACCAGGTGATAGGTCCCTGCCCCAAAGAAAACCTGTCTCATCACCACGTCAATCCCCTGCCTGGCTGCAAGCCCAAGTTTGTCCAACCACCTGCCAAAATATGAGGCAAACAACATGCAGATGAAATTGCTGACCTCAACTGTACACTGTTGCCCCTCTCCAACCAGCTCAGGAAGTAGGAAAACAAGAATTAGGGCATGATGCTGACTTCCTTAAAATCACACAATTAATTTCAATTCAAGTCTTGCATTGATTACCTTAAAAAATAATTTCAGATTACCTCTGGAGGTCTGAGTTAGTGGGAATAGTTGCTCCACTCCCCTGTTTGCAGGCAGTGGAAACCAGGAGTGGCAGCAGATACTCCTGAACTGGCCAAGGGCCTGAAGGCTGAGAGAAATCATCACACCAACAACAAGGTTGTCTGCCATTACCAGGCTTTGACTTGGTGACCCACCAGGCCCTGATGAAAAAGTTCATCATGCCTTATAGGAGGAAAAAACATACATTGCAGCCATGTTTTTGGTTAATTTTCAAAGTGTGAACTGCACATTTCCATGCAATTTTATCTCCCTGAACCTACAAACTGATCAAAGTGCTAAGAAAAGCCCGAATTCTTTTATTTCAACAAAATGCTACAACTGAAGTCCTTGGAGAAAATTATTTTCATGACAAAATTTCCCTTTGGTTAGTTATTTCACAGTGGTTGAAGGATGACATCAGAAAAGGACACCCATCTCATGAATTACTTTTGTCCTCACAAAAGGATGGAGTTAGCATTGCAGATCTGAGGGCAGAAATACAACTTTCTCATGCTTCTCATCCATCATTACCCATAGGAATCTGCTATTTCCTGGGCCTACATTGAACCTCAGGCACAAGGGAAGCACACAGCGAGCAGTGGGGAGGGTTACGATCCTCAACCCACCCATTACCTGTGCTCCCCAGGAAGCTTGAGACGTTCCTCCCGCGGGGCATGTACACAACCCCCTTCAGCTAGTAAAACGTGTAATTTCCCCACACTTGTGTCATGGTACTCACATAAAGCCAGCAATGTAAGTGTTGGACAGCCTGGGAGCTCCCCCTCCATAGGCAGAGCTCGTCTCTCCTAGCCAGACCTTCTTGTCGGGCACGGTCCCATCAACAATCTGGCCGGCATGGTGTAGGGAAGAAGAGAAAGAGACAACAGTTAAGTTTTTGGCTACTGAAATAATAGGCAATCAAAGTTTTGTGCTTTAGCCAAATGCCTACGTATGATGTTTGCATTAAGGGATAACACCAACTGAGGCGGGATGTCACAGAAATTTTGATCAAAAGGACTAGAAGCAGATTTACTTCCCCCCTCCAAAAATCATGTCTATACATGTAGAATGAGGCAAACATCACTAAAAGCCAGGTCCTGTAAGTCTTCTCGTGCCGAGTAGTGGTATACTCTAAGTTATACTGTTCTCAGGATCTCAAAATACAAAGAAATTGGGGCAGGGGGTATGACCATAAATTACATCCCTGAGTAATGACTACATCAATAAATGAGAAAGTTGTAGGTTTGTGATGTATCTGGCACTGTGCTTGCTGCATGGCACATGATTGGAGCTCATTTGTTATTAGTATTGCTATTTTTTTTTTAACTTACAATGACAGCAGCACCCAAGCTTTGAGGATCCCTGTTTATTGCTAGTGAGAAACTGTAGTTTATTCTGGATTCTCTGCTACCCCCCTGGAAACTGAACACGGGAATGATTGAACAGGACAAGGCACCTCCAGGACTTCATGTACAGCTGTGGCAAAGGTATCCAGCACTTCAGGGCTCAAGAAATCCTCCCTCGTTGCAGTTCGTCCGTTCACATAGTAACTGGAAATGGAAAAAAACCCCACAGCCAAAATTAAGGAAAAATACTGCCACTGGTACAAAACACCACTGAAAGTACTCAGTTGCTCAATTCATTCATCCACAGCACTATTTTTCTGTCCAGTTCTTTTTCTTTTTTTGTTTTCCAAATATGTAGGTATGTTGTTTGTATTTTAGGGATTATCAGGTATAATTTCCTCCATGGAGGCAGGATATCACAGAAGTTTTGATCAACAGAAGTAGCGCGTTTTTTTTCATCTACTTATTTAGAACAAGGAAAACATCACTGAATAAGAGCCAGCTTCTGTAAATCTCTTGCTGAGGAGTCTGACAGTCCTATATGATTACTTGCTTTACTGTATCAAGTTATATATTAAAAATATCAGATCCCAGTTTCTGTCCCTCTGTTGGAGTATTTTGGCCATCTGGAGGGGAACGGGGTGGAGGCATCCCTATGGGATGAAGGTTGCCCTCCACCATGAGCAGACAAGCTTTTAAGTCTGGTTTGTTGGACTAAAGAACGGGAAATTGGGATCCCTGTGGTTTTTGCGTTTCATCGCACTATCGCTCAGTCCTACCAGAAGCAGCTGAAGTCTTCCAGCCACAAGAGGAAGCTAAAACCCAATAATCCTAAATTAGTAAAGAAAATAATAAATGCCCATTTAAAGCAAAGGCAGCCACAGGGCAAGAACAGCCCAGGAAGGGGAGAGGACATGTTTCATGCCTTGCTAGCAGCTCAAAACACATAGATAAGTCATATATGTATACATATATATAATATAAGCATGTGCATCTTTTCCCACTGTTACCTGACTGCTGCACATCACCGTGCTGCATTTGACTCTGGAAAGAAAACCACCTTCACATAGAAATCACTTTGAAACATGTGGAGTTCATGGCAGGTGCCCTGAGGCCAGCTTACCCCACTGCCCACCCGAGCACTTTAAAACTGCATCTCTAAGCCACGGCACAAGAGCCAAGGGCTGGGACTGTGCTGGTGCTGTCTGCACTCCGGGTGGGATCTGAGGGCGAGTTACCCACACACAGCCTGAACTGACTTGGAGAGCAAACTTAAGGGAGCAGGAGAAGCTGCTAGCACTTCTCTATGGATAAGGATCAGCCAGACCTGCAGGGCTTTTCATTTATATCAAACAGTCATAAACAGAGAAAAAAGGCATCATGTAACGCATCAGCTAACAAGGCTCCCTGCTGCATTTTTTACAAGGAGTTGGGGGCATTTGCCAGCAGGGTTATCGGTGACTCCCTGAATTTGCTTTTAGGGAGCGAAGCTTTCACTCAAGCAGATTCAGCCCTTCTAATGCCAAGGAGAGCACCAACATCAGGGGTACTGACTCCATTTCAAAGCCCAGCCACCCATATGTTGTTTAAAACCTTACATTAAAAATGTGCTCTTGCAGAAGTTCAGCAGAGCTGAACTCTGCTGAGTAAATCTGAGCTATCTCCTTTTCCTTTTATACAACATCCCCTTCTTCCCAAGGGAAAGTGCATTTTATTTGCAAGGGTTGGCATCTTGGAGCTTTGAGACAACCGGGACTGCTGCTCAGATCTCAATAGCTTTTGGTACACGTTGAAACATGGCACATGCAAAAAGGCTCAACTGCTGCAGAAACTCTCCTTATGTGGGGGAAGCTGTGACCTACCCCCTCGTGCTCTTCTGAGAAATAAAGCTGCCGTGCCATCTTTTTCTCCACATCCCACTTCTGTTTTTCTCAGTGCACATATTTAGCAAGCAAAATGACGGCCTTGCACATGTTGCATTCCCTGCTGCGGTGTCTATGCTACAAACCCCCGCCACTGCTTTTGGGTCTCTGCACCATGTAGCCTCTTTGGAGACCTCCTGCATTTCTGTAATGCAATCCCTCAATTCAACTCTTATTCTGAGCAGAGGAGTTTGCAGAGAGGCACCAAAGGAACTGCTGAAAGGGGTAGTTCACCCCCTCCTTCCTGTTGAGATGTTCAAACCGACATTTTGTACAGGTGATAAGCAGAGTGACGATGAGCAGTACTTACTGGTGCCATGTGACAGAGTCGATCACCTTCCCTCCCGATTTCAGGAAGCTGCAACCAGAGGGGATGCAGTTGAGAGCAGGGGGGGTTAGTGGGTACCGGTGATGGGTCGCAGCCCCCCACAAGCTAGCTGCCACGCACAGCCCTCCCCTCTCCCCCCAGCTAGCAGTAGTGATGGTGACCTGCTTTGGGGCCACGCTTGCTGTGGCTTTTAAACAGGCTTTGGACAGCCCGGCTGCCTCAGTGGATTGCTGGGAGGATGAATTAATGCTTGTGTAACACACAGATTTCTAGGGTGAAAAGCCCTTGTCAACACAGCACTAGAGCCAGTGCTCAATTGAAAGGTGTGCAGATCACTGAAGTACTGCTAGCGTCTTAATTTCAACGGGCTGAGTATTTAAGCCTTGAGCTCATGCATGCAGGTAAGATTTCAGTCATCTACAGTAAAGGAAAAAAAAAATTCCATGTTTCTAATTTAAGGAAAAATGCAGGAAATTAGTTCTCAAAATAGACTGGATGTATCCATTTATACATCCATACTATCAATTTGGAGCAGAAAATCCTTAAAACCCTGCCCAGATGCCTCCTCAAGCCCCCTGCATCTGGGTGCAGACGAGCCACTGCTACCCACACTTGCCCACCCTGGGGGTGCTGCCAGGGCCCCACACCCCTACCTTCTCAGCAGTCTCTGTGTGTGCTTTCGGGGCTGCCCGACATCAGGACCATAGAGCTTTGCACGCTGATAGAGGGTATAGTTACTCAGAAGTTGGCGTAGGTGAATAAAATCTTGCCCCAGCTGGTAGCCGTCGATGTAGACACCAGATTTCTTCCTGAAGCTATTGGGCTCTGGGGAAGACACGTGGGCATCAGCACCCCACTCTAGTTTCAGGGCACAAAATAGGGCAGCTCGTTCCACATGGGGAGTACCAATCCCGTACGTCTTCATATGATCTGGCACAGTACAGGTGAGGTATTTGAAGGCAATGAGCATAAAACCGAAAGCCCGGGTGACGCAGAGCACTGCTCTCCAGCGCTCTGTCCCAGCCAGTCTCCATAGGTGACATCCTGCACCTCGTGGGACATTGCTCACCTCATCTCAGAGCCTCGGTAGAAGCAGCAAAATCATCTCAATTTGCTTATTCGTTGGGCCTTCTATGAAATTCCTCCTTGCAAATTAAGACTGTAATGTTTCCCAATAAAACATCACCTTGCCTTTATGGGCTGTCATCCAAAACATCCAAAATTACCATACCATACCCTGCGGTGGTACCTTTCCAGGTGACCACTGGCCTGACCCCCAGGCAGGCTTTGCACTTACCATTCCCGAGCTCCCAGGAGATGTTGTACCTCTGCGAGGCGCAGTAGTCCAGCAGAGCCTGGGCATTTGAGCTGTCCCACTGCAAGCCATCTTTCCGCAGCAAGGCATTGAGCCCAAAGATCAGGTGAAACCCTGAGCAGTTTGCAAAGCTGTAGAGAATATCTAACGTATTTCCTGTGTGGAGGAGAAAGGGGGGATGTTCATCTCAAGGCTATGGCATGCTAACTGAGCTCCGGCCAAGTGACAATCTTTACTCCCTGTATTTATTTAGCCTGGTGCTGCAGATGTGCCAAGCTCTCCCAGCCAGACAAGAGAGCCCAGACCTTACTACACACCACCCTGCAAGGTGTTGAGATCCTCCCAACTCCTGCAGCAACTGAATACTATTGAATACGAGGTGGCAGACAGTAGAAAAAGATTTCTTAGAAACATTTCCCCCACTTAGAAAAGTATTTATTTTCAGTGGTTTCAGCTCCTAACAGCCTATGACCCTTTTACCGCAGGGCAGAGATTTGCAAGCCCCCTGGTTATAAACCCTAGCAGAAAAGATCCATCGAAGTCTTACTTGTGATGGTGGTGTTTTCGTGCTTTTTCCGGTTATGCTCTGCAAGAATCAGCTTCTCCTGGCTGGGCCACTGGGCCAGCAGTAGCTTCTCAACAGGAGCAAACACAGGGCTCGAGCCACAAGACTCTGTAGGGCAGAAGAAGGGTGATAGCAATCAAGTCCTCGTCTTCACAGCCAGGGTCCAGTATGCAAAGGGCTGCGCCCCTCAGGAGGAAGCACAACCGCTTGGTGCTAGGCTGAGAGCCAGTTGTGCACTTCTGTGAAATGCACCCCTACTTGCACAATGTTAACCACATAGAAAAAGTAGGGTTGGCTTGATACATAAGTATGTGCTATATAGAAAATGTATATTTCCCAATTTAAGGTGATGGAGATGGGGGGGGTGTGGGAAGACTAAGCTGTACTTCTGGAGGCTGGTATCATGGCAGTCACACCCCAATAAACTATTTTAGCTAGAGCTAAACCGGAAACCCTCATTCCAGTGAGCTGACAAAGCATGGGCTGCGGCGCTTGAGGAGCAGATAAGGCACCCCGGCGTGCGGCGGCATGGCAGGGCTGATGGCCTGCCTTGCTGTGGGCAGATACAGGGCGATGCTTCCTGTGCTGCCCATCTCATGCAGGGGAAAGCGCTGACCGCCCCGCGTGGCTCCAGCGGCAATGCCAGCGGGAGTCATAAGACACTTTCTCTTCAAAGTTCATATTCTTTCTTGGCATGCAAACCAGGAACAAGCCATAACCAGAGAGGAAGGTGCAAGCTGGAGTCACAGTTACCCAGAGAGGAGGAAGCCACTCAGCAAAGTGGTATGGGGGGAGAAGTACCACTCGACGTCAAAACCAAGCATCACCGGTTGTACAGTGATGTATGATTGCACTGTTGTGCTATGTACCACAGGAATAGATGGGATTTTTTTCATCTGAAACACCTCTAGAAGGATTTATGTGCTTTTGCTAAGTTTAAAGAAGAAATTGACTTTAATGCAGTGGGAAACCTCACCCACCAGGACCAAGCTCGAGCAGTTGGCAGTGGCCTGGTGGGTTTGCACTTGCCCTGTTGAAGCAAAGGAAGAGAATTAACTATCCCAGCCGAAACCAGGACACCAGCCTAGCTCTGGCTTTGGCCAGGATAGAGAAGACAGACTCTCTGTTCTCATCAGATTATTTCTTTCATCTGTTACTTAATTTTCATAATGAAACCGCAACTTTTCAGCTGAACTTGACCACCTCCCAGGCAGCGGGGGAGCTCCCAAGGCTGCTGCAGGGAGCATGGAGCAGCAAAGGGAGAGTGCCAGCAGATGCTGGGGTGGACATGAGGTCCCCCACGCCTTTCCTCGCTTTCCCACGACTGGCACAGCAATTCCCATGGACCATGCTGAAGGTCCACGGATCAACTCTCCATGGAGGAGAGCAATGCTGACCCCGTGAAGGACCCCCAGTGCTGCCACCATGCCCTTGTGGCATCCCCAGCTTGCATCAAAGCCACCTCCTAAACCCAGGATGGGTTCAAGTCTAACACATTGATGCCCATTTTACCTTGATGGGCCTGAAGTTCCCAGAGGATTTTTTCTTCCAAAGTTGAATCCTTGTTGGGATCAAAGATGAGAAAATCTGTCTTGGTGCCGCCGAACCTCAGGAAGCCTGGGGACAGGGCCGTTGCCAGGGCACGTAGTTTGGGATTGCTGAGGAAGGGATGTCAAGAAACAGAAGAAACACTATATTCATGCAGACTATGGCTTCGGTGTAGAGGCTAAACACAGCAAGTGCTTGGAGGGATGCACTGCAGTAGGTACTCCTGACCCCGCTCTGGACCTGCACCCCAGCCCTCTGCACTGTGCAACAGAGACGCTGCCAGCTGAGCAGGCCAGGAGAGCATCGGTGAGGCAGTGAGGGGGAGATGTGCCCCACAGACAGGGAGTGAAATCCTGGGGGCAAAGTAATGCAATACTTCAAAACAGGTATTTTTTTGTCCTAAGCATCCTTCTCCCCTAGATTTTTTGGTTTTGTTTATACAAAACTAAGATACCAGTCCTGTGAGAAGGTGGATGTAAAACCGACTGATGGTATCAGTCCCAATTTCCATCAACGACAGCCAAAGCGAGTGTTTTCATACCCAAGAGAGATTAAGAGTCCGTGCTGGGACAAGCGTTAGCTTTAGCCAAGCAGTTTCATAAAACAACGTAAGCTCTGCCTCTGCGACTTGCGCACCCCCTGCGCAGGATGTGCAGCACCAACACCCGGCCTTCGCTGTGGGAAACCACGAGGCTGCGGAGGATGCCGGGCGCACAAGCGCTATCTGCTCAGCGGTGACACACAAGCAGATTAGAGGCAACCAAGTACTTCCTGCTCCTCACGGAGGCGGGGTTGGCCCCAGGCTGAACCCCAAGGTGTGCAGCTGGGGCTGGAGACCTGAGCACTTTCCAATAAAGCTGGCATCACCTTTCTCCCCACCTTGGTGAGGAGGAAAAGATGAAAGCGGGGGGAGGAGGGAAATCAGGACTGGAGAAATACCGTGGGGCTGAAAAATGGGGTCAGATGGATGAAAAGGAAAGAATTAAGGTAGCTTCCTAAAAAGGGAGAATCAAAAAGGAATAGAGTACAAAAAAAAGTAGAGCAAAAGCAGGGAAGAAAAGGCAAGAGAGAGGTCAGAGCCAAAAGAACGGGCAGGGAACACCATCACTTGGCAGTCCAGAGTTGTTCAGTGTTACCTAAGAGGGAAAAAAGTCTTCATTTTTAGGCTCTCTGGATTCAGCTTTGATGATGACAGACCTTCCTCAGCATTTATTTGACTTGCTGCCGGCAGTGCCCCGGCAAACGTCCGCAGAGCTGCCCCAGGGCTCAGGTGGTTTTTATCCCGCGGAGCGGCGGGGCT